TATTATAGTACGTGTACTGGACCCTCTTAAACCAACATTTCCACTTTTACTAGCTAGTAAAAGACTAACTGCGCGTGTGGTGTTGGAGACATTCGAAAAATTTGAACTTTCAACAAGTCAAGTACTGATGTTTGTGACTGATGGTGCTGCGACAATGCGCGTGGTAGGCCGTTCTCTTCAAAGAGACAATTGTAGGTTTTTACATGTTACATGTAAAGTGCATGCGTTACATCTTGTGGCAGAAACGATTCGAAAATGTTTTTCAGAGGTAGATGCATTAATAGCAAATACAAAAAAAGTTTTTCTCAAATCTCCTAAACGGCTTCGAGCATTTCACAGACAGTGTCCTGGTATCCCTGAACCACCAGAGCCGATTCTTACACGTTGGAGAACGTGGTTGAAAGCGGCTTTTTATTATGCTGAATATTTTCAACAAATAAAAGCTGTGATACTACAGTTCAACCCTAACGAGGCTGCAGCTATTGGGGAAAACCAGACAAGCTTTCAAGACGTTTCCCTTGAAACAGATTTAAAAACTATTAATAACAATTATAGAGGACTACACGACGCAATAGAAAAATTGCAAAATAGTTCGTTGTCGTTAGTGGAATCGCTGCAAATAGTGGACGACGTAAATACACAGCTACAGGCTATAAATGACGCAAAAAATAATCGCATTAGTGGAAAATTCGAGAGTGTATTACAGAAAGATCCTGATTTTAGCAAATTAAGACAAATTTGTGATGGTGCATCTACAACTTCGTTAAGTGAGTTCACAGATTGTTTACTTATGCCTGTATTACATCCGTAGATGTCGAACGGTCATTTTCAAAATACAAACATATTTTTTCACCAAAGCGAACATCGCTGACGGAGACAACTGTAGAAACATACCTGATGCTATTATACTATAGATCTTCCCCACTTTGTGACGGCGACAACCAAACTACTTCATAAATCTGCTTAAAAGGGTGAGTTTTATACAAATTTTTATAAAACGTAACACTATTGTTAAAATTTATTTCCATTTATTGTATTATGTGATGTAAACATATGAGTCATATGTCTGCTCTGTCGGCCAGGTGACCTGGGCCAGCTTTATTCATAAGACAAGGACAACAGCTCTACATCCACAATCGGATGGAATGGTGGAGAGATATAATCAAACCATGTAGGAACACGTATCCAAAGTGGTAGAGAAACATCAGAGAGATTGGGACTGTCACTTATCTCTTTTCCTTATGGCATACAGGGCCTCTATTCATGAAATAACACCGGCTCCCGTTATGTTTGGACGTGAGATTAAACTGCCACGTAACTTGGTGTTTGGTAATTAAACTAGTGAGTAAGTGTTTCCTGGACTTTTAATCAACGAATCTACGAGTATAGGTATTTGTAGGAATATCAATAACGTGGCCAGGAATAATATGTGATATTGAAAAATTTATTAGTAGATGTAAAACTTGTGAAAAGTTTTCTAATCCTAATGTAAAAGTATAATTAATACCACATGAAATTCCTAATTTACCCTTTGACAAGGTTGGGTCTGATATTTTGGAATTTAAAGATGTGCCATATTTAGTTTTTGTAAGTTATTATAGCAAGTGGATAGAGTTGAAAAAGTTAGACTAAAAATAGGCAAGAAATTATAGGTTATTTAAAAGGAAAAGAAAATAGGGAATAACGAAGGAATTGTAAAAGACAGGGTAGAAAATAAGTGTGATAACAGTCAAGTGAAAGAGATAAGTGGATGAGTGGTGAAAAAACCAATAAGGTATGAAGATTTTGTAGAATAAGTACATACTATATTGTAAAGAGGGAGATGTACCATATGTAATGAGTATGGCAGTTAGATATAATGGGTTGCTTAAGTTAGGAGTTAGTCATAACAAATGTAACATGCATTTATTGTTGTAAGAAATAAGTTGAATAAAATATATCCAGTAATCAAGTGTATTAATTACATAATAATAATTTCATAAATATGATATTCCCCAATTATTTTTAAAAAAAATAGTAAAAAATTCCCTTACAAATATAACGTCTGAAAACGCTATTAACCCACCAAGGTCAACTCATTGATAACATACACCAAAAAAAAAAACTTAAAAACCCTTTAAATGAGAACCTCCTTCACTAACATCCCTTAGCGAACCGCATACAACACGTCTGACCACTACTGAACCGTCAGAGCAACTCTCCAATAAAATAAACAAAAAACTTAATAAACAACCCTTTCAATAAAACTACCCTTACTACACGCCTTTGACGAACCGCGTACGACACGTGCAGACTGTCCCGAACCGTCAGGCCGACACAAATAAAATAAGACACCCCTAACTAAACACCCTTGGCGTATCGCGCACAACACGTCCTGCCTTTACCGAACCGTCAGGCCAACCTTTCAATATAATAAACGCCCTTGAAAAAACTTAATAAACAATCCAAATAAAATCTCCCTGACTAAACACCCTTAGCGAACCGCGTATCCAACGTCCAGCCTCTCCCGAACTGTCTTTTCCCCTCTAAAAAAAATTTTTTTTTCTACTGACCGTTTCAAAATTTAGGTTCTCCCACTAAAAATTATATTAAAATTAAATCATAATATCCTTAGCACCCTCTTAACGCATCGAATTAAACCTTCATCTCATTCTGGCAGCGTTCTTCATCACGCTCATTCAAAAACCCATTTATTAGGCTTCTGATTGGCTAATTCTATTTCTCCCAATACCTGGACGACTATTAGCTCCCGAAAATGATCATTGAGGCCACTGTAAGTACCTAATTTTCCAATCTTCGGCCGTTCAAATTAGTGATGGGTGTTTTCGAATTATTTGAACCATCAAATAATTACTGAATGAATGATTCCAACTATCAAATGAATTCATTCGAATAAATTCATTCAATTGGAACTTTTCCAGAAAACATCATCTGAATGGTATTGTTAACTTGCTAATTAATGCTGCTGAGTTTCACTTCTCGTAAAAAATGGGTGTTTAGAATCAGAACCGACATAGCCTTGTATTAGTCACATATCATCATTAGTTAGTTGACAGTTTCGTTTTGTTTATTTTACACTGTTTATCATATTACATAATAAGATGTGCCTCTTATTTATGAAAAAATACCGCCTCTGTCTATGCATACTCATAAATCATAACCTCCATTCCTAAATCCAACATTTTTTTAGATTCAATCATTCGTAATTCAACTATCGAATTACTCGAATACGTACCAACTATCCAATTACTAAATAGTTTTTATTTGAGAGTGCTCATCACTAATTATAATTTATATAATTTAATTAAAATCGATTCCTAAGTTGCTGAGGTAAGTGAAATGCTTGTGGTGAGAGAGTATCTCGAAAATATTTCCCAAGCATGATAAGAAACTGCTTCGGCTAAGGAATGCGGTTACTTCCGTTAGCGAAAACAAAACATTCTCGCTAAAATAATTTCTACACATTCGCAAAAATGTAAAATTTTATTGCATGATATAGTGTGCCGTGGAAACAAAATGGTACTAATTTTTGACATAAACAAACAATAATTAAGCACCCCAGTGTGATGCAGAGTTTATTGTGCTTTTTGTACGTATTTCATTGAAGTTGATTATTATTTTCACAATGGTATTCCGTCAGTTTAGTGTTCAAGAATGGAATGTCATTCCTCAAATATACTTCTTGAACATTAAACTGACGGAATACTATTGGAAAAATTATAATCAACTTGAATGAAATAACTACAAAAAGCATAATATACTCTGCGTCACATTGACGTGCTTAATTATTTTTTGTTTATATGTCAAAAATTAGTACCATTTTGTTTCCACGGCACACTATATCATGCAATAAATATTTTACATTTTTGCGAATAAATCAGATCAACGTATAAAGTGTGCTACATCATCGAAATCAGAATGAAATATGCTATCCAACCAATTAAAAATATACAGGGTGTTTCATTTAAAAAAATACAAATTATGTATATATCTTTTTCTATTGACAGTTTTTTGTTTTTTTTTCTGATGATAAGAAAAACTTAACGGACCCTGTAATTTGGTTTTTGGTTCATATTAATAACTTTAAAAATAAAAGAGTTATATCAGATCTAAATGTTATCAAGATAAAATGACACTGTACAGGGTGGGCAAATTTCGATGTTTGTATAGGGTAACTGAAAGAGATACAAAAAAAATGGACACATTCTCGATCTCTTTTTTGTGAAACAAATTCACTGGCGAAAACAAAAATTTACTATGGTCTTTTGTTTTCGAGTTATAAACAAAAGCTCGATTTTTCGACTTCTAGACATGTCATTATCTTGGTTGTTTGTAAAGTTATGAAGAAACAACTTTTACATTCTTTAGGAACTTTTTTTCTGTGTAATACAGTGACATCGAGAAAATAAAAGGTGCAATTCGAGTTATGGCATCAAGTTGTTGCTGATATAGTTTGAAAGAGAAAAAAAATCCTTTTTAACTAAACCATAGCCAACTATAATTCCCATTAAAAAAATACAACTTTATGCCATAACTCGAAATTGCACCTTTTTTAAAATATTTTCGACGCCACTGTACTATACAGAAAAAAGTGCCTGAGAATGTAAAAGTTGTTTTTTTATAACTTTACAAACAATCAAGATAAACTCGAAATATCGAACTTTTTATCTCGAAAACAAAAGACGATAGCAAATTTTTGTTTTCGTCAGTGAATTTGTCTCAAAAAAAAGAAATCGAGAATGTGTTCCATTTTTTTGTATCTCTTACATTTACCGAGTTACCCTATACAAACATCGAAATTTGCCCACCATTAAATAGTTTGGAAGATCCCTTTGAGTTATGTTATAAAATGATCAATTTTTAAGGATATTTTGACGATACCAGCTTTTAATTCATCTCGGAAAATGTGCATCGGATGCAAATAAAATTTTAGATATCTTTAAAATACAGCGTTTTCCATGCACTGTTTTTTTAAACATTTTAAAATTTTAAGAGTAACGTGGCTTCGTGGTCTAATGGTAAGGACACTTGCCTCTCACCCTGGAGTCCCGGATTCGATTTCCGGACGGGTTAGGATTTTTTCTAAACTAGAAATTAATCCTAGCGTATTCGAATATTGAGTGTGTGTCCATTGTCTAAATGTGTAGCCTTCCCCCGCAGACCTATGGTATTTAATTATTTGTCAAAAATGTAGCTTCTTGCTCATTCAGTTATTTTTAAGGGATGTAAAAAAATGTTTGATTAAATGATTCAAATCGATTATGTAAAATATAGAAATTTTCAAAACAAATATTTCGGAAATATCAAACATTTGAGTTATTAAGTGCGCAGTAGATAATATAAATATTTTTTCTTTATTTGTTTGAAAGGCGGTAAGAAATTAATTAACCGTTCATATTTTTTTTAATGATTTTTCGAATAATTATAATTGTAATCGAAAGTTAATGTTCTAAAAAATTTTCACTGTAACTTCAAAGTAACTGAACAGGCATGGTGGCACATTTTTTTAAATTACGAAGGTTTAGACAACAAAAATTGAAAAAAATATGACAAGCATATTCCTCCATATCACTACAAAATTTTACTTACAACTGATAAGGTGGACAGAAGCTTATGAAATCATCATTTTTAGAGATAATCTGATGATTTTTTTTCTTGTCAAGAGCATCAAAATCTAAATTTTGTCGCTATATTGTCATTCCCTAGATACACACGCATGGCCTATTACGATTTTTTTTAACCTCGAAACACTATACAAACGATTTTTTATCCAAAATCTAACACCTAGCATTAATGAAGAACCGTCAAAATTACCTTTATACCAAATTTCATTGAAAAAATGACAGATGGTATTTATTGAAGGACAAATTTGACCATCATACATACATACATACACCATCATGTAATAAAAGAAGCTTGAGTAAACCTTGGAAAGAAACAATCAACTATTGATTAGAGTAAATATGTCTTATTCAAAAATAAGTCGTGAATTCGATGAATTTTAAAATTTTTTCCAAAAAATAATCAGGCATTTTCAATACAACAATCCTAATTAGCATTTCCAAAGAAATTCATATAGAAAATTCATACATACTAATTTAATAAACAATTATATTTTGCAAATTTTCAGTGTGGCAGAATCTTCCGTAGGAACTACAATGGATCACGGTGAATTGACTTCATTCCAATTTGATATGAATTTATTTAGCACAGAACGCAAAACTGAACTTGAGGATAAGATATTAACTGATGAACTCTCTGTAGTAAAGATGCACAAGTGTGAAATATGTACATACAAGTCAAAAAAAATATATTTACTTACCAGACATATGTTGATCCATAAGAATCCCTCAGAGGTAGAAGTGTACAGGTGTGAAATATGTACATATGAGACCAAATACAAAAAAAGTCTTAATGTGCACATGTTGACCCATAAATATTCCTCAGAGATAAGGATGTACGAGTGTAAAATATGTACATACAAGGCAAAACAAAATTATTTACTTACCAAACATATGTTGATCCATAAGAATCCCTCAGAGATAGAAATGTACAGGTGTGAAATATGTACATATGAGGCCAAACGCAAAAGTTGTCTTAACAGGCACATGTTGACTCATAAAAACTCCTCAGAGATAAAGTGTGAAATATGTCCATTCAAGGCAAAAAGAAAGAATTATCTTACCATGCATATGGTGGTCCATAAGAATCCCTCAGAAGTAGAAAAGTACAGGTGTGAAAACTAGTAGTGACCTATAGTTTTAGTCTCAGTAACCATGAAGCCATTGCGAGCCCGCCAGTGGTAATGCCGGGCAAAGGATAAAAAACCATCAATTATGATTTTTTATTTTTAGTATAATTCTGTCAGATTAGTATATAATTTTACACTAGATGTTAAGTAGTGTATTTATACCGTGCCTCCCCTCCAGCCATAAGCGTATATGAGCATATTTTTTTCAAGGCCATTGCGTCAGCAGTTTTCAATTCCAATCTTAAAGTGTATAGTTTACTATAATTAAATTGGATCTTGTGGGCTTTTAATTGAACTATTAGATTTCCGTTTTCAATATACCTACACACGTTACACTTGTAACAAAAACAGTATACAAATATTTTATTTAAAACTAATGGAAAGAAACAACATAATTTTAGTCTTGAAGTCGAATTATTAACATAATCTAATAAAAGAACTAAACCCCAAACAGTACCATGAGAAAAAATTTTTTTCATATGCATGGTGCCTATTTAGAAAAAGGCCGTAGTATGATTGTAGGTGCTGGGACCACAGTCCTTGTCCTGGTAGCGGGGCAGGTTTACTCGCTGTCAATTGTACACTTGTAATGGCCGATTGCACCGTAGTGTTAAACTAGGCCTATATTTAAGTAGCGTTTAGACAGTGACTTTCACCATTTGATTATCGTTACAAATGGCACAATCTAAGTTAGACTTAAATATAAGCCAAGCTTAACGCTACGGTGCAATCGGCCATTAATAATGTTTTCTTAAATACTGCTGTTATTGTTTATTTAATCATTTAATTAATAAATATTAAATTGGTACTAATAATATTGATTTGTTGTTTGACGTTGATATTTTATAAAAAAAATTTGTGGACTTCATTATTTTACAAATGAGAGCAATCTGCCATTGTGGGGTAGGTATAATAAAGCTATCATTAGTATATTAATTTAGATAGAAAAAAATTAAAACTGATTTCTTAACTACCTAGTTTAATTATGTATTTCTTTCATTTAATTAATAAATATTAAACAGGTAAATACTAATATGATTTGCTGTTTAACGTCATTATTTTCTGCGATATTGTGTGAAGCCTTTATTATTTTACAGAGGTGAGTAGTAAACTTTTAAAAGACAATGATTACATATCATATGAGTAAAAAAGAAAGAATATGGCAATAATTCAAATCATTAGAAAAAGAATAGTCAAGAAACAGGATATAACGATGCTCTTATACTTGCAGATATTTCAGCAAGTTGCAACACATTAGTCGTGAATAGTAAAGGTACTTATATTTAGGCCTTGAAGCCGTTGTTTATAAAAATGTAGAAACAGATGGCGAGATAGTTTTTGTTAGCGAGCTAATAAGCACTCGAGTTGTGGCAAGTTTAGTGTTGATAATAAAACAAATAACATTTCAGGAATATGTGTACTAAAAGTAATTATCATGTAAAAGACCTAAGGTTTGCCATAGAACAATTATTTATCTAATTAGACACTCTAGATTTTACTGCGAGATATAACTTTTAATAATAATCTCCCCTGATATGTTGCAATGAAGAAAAAGTTCAGCTTCTACAGGAACTCATATCTTCATGTTTTAAATATTTCTGATATTTTAAATCTGGATTTGCGTGGAGATGATAAATGCCGATTTGAAGTGTTTTTAATAAATCCTCTGTTTGAATTTCTGCCAAATGAAATTATACAAAAATATAAGTTGCATGAATTGAATAATAAAGATGAGCAGATGCAATGAAGAAATAGATATGAATTTATTGTTTAAATCTAATGTAATTTTTTTTGTTATATTTCGAATACTAATATACGTTTTTGTTTTAAATATGTGTGTTTTTTTATTCCAGGCGCCAAAGTATACTGCTATCTGTAAATAAAAGGTATTAAAATAAAATCATAAGTGCCAAATACAAACTTTAATTTATTCTTATTTATTTACATATACAAACATTTTAATATACTTGATAAAAAACAAAAAAGAAAATATACATATCCACATTCAGTTTAATAATTATTTACTGGTTGTGCTTAAAAACATATGATAAACATTTTTATAAAATATCAAGTGATTGATTATATGTATAAAACGTACTATGCAATTAAATATTATCTTCACAGTGAATACTATGCTGCATTTTATTGAAGGTAGTTTTTCATGTTGTCAATGGAAATCTAATGGCATTTTCTTAGTAATGTTATTTTGTTATTAAATATATTGATTGTGTACATTTCAATGGATTTGCAAAAGAGTTTTCAGTAATCAGTAGACATCTGTCGGCGGCTATTTACATTACACATTTTATAAAATTCCGTTTGGTCTGTGACAGAGGCTCAGTGTCTCTTTTTCTAACAGCAAAAGAAACAAAAACAGACGTATGGAGTCGACTCATGCATTTCTGTGACGGGATTGTGTTCATCTTTAGCTATTAGACAAAGACAAACAGAAGACACTTAAAAGACGTCTCAAAGACATCCATTTTAGTTGTCTTTAGAATATCTATAAAAGATGCCTTTAAGACGTCCTTTTAAGATCTTCAGTCGTTTAGACATAATGTGGATTTAAACAAAACGTCTCTAAGATGTAGTGTGCTCTCTGGGTTGTTATGTATTGGCACTATAGAGGTGGCTTAATAAACGGACTTGACTCTAAAGCACTGTTCTTTATTTTATTATTTATCAAAAGAGTGGTGTACATTAACTTTCTTAACTTTTACAGTACACCGAAGTGACAGGCCACAAAACAAGACTTCACTTCTCGTTTACCAATCTTAACGTTCTTTTTTTAAGGGGTTTTTAACATTAACATTAGGCATAGTTCACAACATTCATGAATTAAATAAAATCAATAAAATTGAGAAATACAGATAGACAAGCGTGTTTCGTAGTAAAATATATTTTAGGCAGGTAAGTTTGTTTTATATTTGTTGGTTACTATATACAGACATTTTCAAAACAACCAGTAGCGAGCGGCCATAATGCGTGTCATCGAGAATCCTTTTTTTTCTATGTTATGTTGGTTATGTGCTGCGTTTGGTGTTTATAATACCGCAGAGTGGGGTTACTTTGCTACACTTTCGAGATATTTTGCGTCATATTTTTTTACAAAGTGTTGGAATTTGCAATTAATGTGTAAGCCCAATAAACACTCAACATCCATTGGACATCCATTTTATATCCATTATAGGTCCAGATGCCCATGGACATGTTATGGACATCCATTGGACTTACATACATGGACGTCCATTGGACAACGTGTCCACTGGATATCCAGTTAATGTCCATAAAGTTAAATTTCTGGATGTGGTATTTATATTCAT